AGGGGGGGGGCAGTGATTGGAATCATCAATTTTTTCTCTGGCAAGTAGGGGGGGGGCAGTGATTGGAATCATCAAATTTTTGTCTGGCAAGTAAGGGGGAGGCAGTGATTGGAATCTCGTATTTACTACTTTAAATCTTGGGCTAGCAAGGAGTGTCTGGGCAAAAGAAAATTAAAAATTCTCGCCTCACATGACGCCTGACGTCATCAATGGTCAGCAAAGCATAGAAAGCAACCATGTCGTCGTGGGGATAACATAGTCCCGACTCCATAGGAGGGAAAGTCAGACGATGTGCCCTCCTGCTTTGGGTTGGAGGTGGAGACAGGGTTCGAAGTTCAAGCCGGGTTTAGCGAATGGTAGTATTAAATTATTATATTAAGTAAGGAACAAAATATTTGAAAACTTGAAATTCACAACAAAATATTAGTGTGGACGTTTCGGCTCGACGCCTTCGATCGATGAACAAATAAGAAAAGACAAAGGAAAGGGGGGAGAAAAGGAACTTAGTTTTGACACTAGATTGACAAGACGATAAGTCTTAATATGGTAATCATAATGGTTGTCAGGAAGTACTACGGGGTTATTTGGAAGTGCCAATGCTCAAGATGTAAATATATAAATTGCGGGAAATTAAAATTCAAGAGATATTATTTACTTTGTAGATACCACATTGTGCCCAAAAACCATTTATCAATCTGTTAATATTTGCCATTACAGTCGCTGATGTATCTATATTAGTGTTGTGACATGTACATCAGACGTGGCTTTAAGTTTCAATGTTGTGACATGTACATCAGACGTGCCTTTAAGTGTCAATGTTGTGACATGTACACCAGACGTGACTTTAAGTGTCAATGTTGTGACATGTACATCAGACGTGCTTTAAGTGTCAATGTTGGGATGTGTACATCAGATGTGCCTTTAAGTGTCAATGTTGTGACGGGTCCATCAGATGTGCATTGCATGTTACATTAAGAAATGGCGTCAGCAGGGCGAGTCTAGACTCTTATGCCCACCCCCTCCAAATTACCCCTCCCCGGTCCGACGTATCGGGCCGCGAGCGGCACGTTGGAGATGCCCACTCGCCAGGACGGCCCCCCACCCAAGTCCCCCACCTGGACGCTTGGGCGCTCGACCAGGACCCCGCCTGAGGGCCGCCCCAACCAGAAGGCACCCGGTCGATCCGACACTATGCGTTTAAACAGTGCACTCGATCGACTTTCTCAGGAGTTGGGATGGAAAATTTACGTCCTAATATCTTCCCCCACCCATCCCGGGAAAGCGTCGGACGCCCTATAAGAGGGATTCCACAGTGGGTTTCCACAACGCGACTTGTTCACGCTGTAGCTGGGACGAAACGGTTGCCTAGGGGCAGCGTTCTGACGGCTGCATTATTTGAATCCTCGGCCAGAGGTTACCACCCTCGCCTCTGGCCTCATACCCGTCAACGGCAACTTGTTATCATGATCCCTACCCTGGCTCTGCCTAACTTTCCGACTGCGAAATATCACAACCGGCAGCCCTGTGGGATCTGTTTTATGTACGGCAGGTACCGAGCACACCCTTTGTCTGCCCATGCGGGGCGTGCCCAGTAGTTATGTTTCCAGGCAAACGCCGAGGGGGTCGTTGGCCGACGCTTCCTAATCGGCAAGCTACAGCAGACTTGTCAACCGGAAACCTGGAACGGTGCATTGCATGAAATGTGCCGATGCTTAAATGAGATTATAAATATAAGGGGCACTTTGCTTTTCTCAATATTGCGAAGATGCTAACTAAATCTAGCAGACAATCTTCTTCGCGTCTCACCTATATACCAGTAACAAAAAGAAACAACTATTCTACACACCAACAATGCGACTTATACCCACGAAGCCCTCATTGGCGTTAGAGGTGCCCGATGGGAAATAAATATTTTTGATTGTAATTACTCATACATAATAATGAGGAAGTCCTGCAAAACTTGAAGAGGTTCAGCCCCAACAGGAGATTATTCAGATTGAATTTTTTAAATTTAAAGTGGACTTTATAAAAATAAAAATATTTCTTAAAAAAGGTAGGGTGGAGGGGGGGGGGGTCTTTTAGTCTCTGAGATTAGAATGTAGTTACTTTTTTTTTTTTAAATGGGGAGGGTATGCAGTTTTAATTTTTTTTTTTAAAGCACTTTTTGTTTTTCATCTATTGCAATACAACGCCATTAATACTAATACCACTATTTTTCACTTTTGATATTGTAACATTCATACCCTTTATAATAAAACATTGAAACTCAAGGCCTAAACA